AATAGTTTAGACCATGTTATTGATGTAAAAAAAAGATTGTTATTCTTATATTCTGATTTATCATGTTTCCTTGGAAACATGGGTCCCCCCCCCACTTCTCACTCTGCGCTGGGAGATACACTGGTGCTCATCAGGCTCTGTTCTTTGTCCTTCCTCCCCATTGGCTGCATCGAGGACCAGTTGGCAGAGGAGAGCAACATGGGGTATGTAGTCCCGAGGACTGGCGGCCCCATTGTAATCTGAAAGGAGTGAACTGCAGCTCCCAGAATGCCAGAGCCGCAGGAGGAGGATAGAGCCAAGAGCCCGAGACACGCTCAAAGGCTCAAAAGCTTTGAGGAAGGGCCACCCGGGACATGAAGCAAAGAGAGAGAGCTTTTATCCAGCCAGGTGTGTCAGAGGGGCTGAGGATTTTCTTGGGATCAGGCACACAACAGAGAACCCATAATTACCAAGCGGTTCCTTTGGGGTGGTGCTACACAAACCTCTCCCACTCTGTCCAAAACTAAAGAAAAAACGGATTGGATGGACACCACCTGGCAAAATACAAGTCTGTGTGAACGTCAAAAAATACATGAACTTCTTTACCAGGAGTGACTCAAAAATTTGTTTTTCAGGCACTTTCATTTACCAGTCTACCAGGCTGAAAACGTGATCCTGTACTACATGCACGTGAATTAGGGTCCATTCAGTTGCTGTGCTATGCGGTACGGCATGATCAAAGCATTGTACCTCATTGTTCCTTTTTATTAAAATTAAATGTATTTTAATGTCACACCGACATTTCAATTGGCTGCCCTGCAGAGCGAAGTGGTTACTCACACTGCGCTGAAAAAAGGTAGTGCATGCCATACTTTTTTTCGATCGCACCGTGCCTGCACACCACCACCACGCAGTGGTGTGAACCGGGCACACAGGTGACAATGCACTTTGCCTTGTCATGTGCTGTGACTGTGCTGCCTAACGCAGTTCCTCAGCATCTGGTGTGAATGAAGGCTAAGGAGATGAAGAAAGGAGGTTGTGTTTGCAGTCCATCCATGGAACTGCCTGGAGTGGAGATGTTGCTTCTGTATACTGTAGATCAGGGGCGGACTGATAATTCATGGGGCCTCCGGGCAATAGGGGATCATGGGGCCCCTGTGTCCTTGCCCAAACTCAAAAAAACCTATGAAAAAGGTACCAAGGGCATCTCATGGGGCCCCCTACTGACCCCTGGCCCTCGGGCAGTGCCCGAGTTTCCAAATGGTCAGTCCGCCCCTGCTGTAGATATAGTACAGTAAGTGATTGTTGTCATAGTAGGGCAGGAAATGTGTTACTGGCAAAATCACCAGATGGAAATACAGGATAACAGACTGAAAAAAGAAAACAAATGCAGCAACCACATGGAAGAACCAGTTTGCTGCCATATATTACATTTTTTGGGTTTAGATATGAATTTATGAGCCTGTTATTGTACATGATATATTGAAGGTTCATGCACACAGGTGTATCAAAAAAACTCCTATCTATTCTGGATTTTTCTGCTAGAAGATGGCAGAAAAATCAAGCATAAAAATGTTTGTTTTTGGTGCGTAGTTATGCCTGTTTATGTGTGTTTACAGGCATTTTGAAGAGTATGAGCATAAACCCATCCTCTTAATGGCAACTCCATGCACTGAAAACGTGCACACACAGAAACGCATGGTGCGAAACGCATGGTGCAAAGGCACCATGGGGCTTTCTTGTGGCCGTGTTTTAAAAAAGGTGTGCAGGGACCTTTTCCCTGCAGGAAACTCAGGCACAGCAGGCCATTCTATTGAATGGGCTGCAGTGCCTGCGCAAATGTAGTACGCAGAACCACATACTGTACATGTGAACCGGGCCTGCTTCAAGCCACTGGAATAAATTTACAAGCATATACACACATTTATGCACACTATGGCGTGTTTCTGCATGTACATATGTAAATTATGCTCTTACGTTCCTCTCCAAATGCATTTTAGGGGCATTTTGTTTTTGCCTCTAAATGCTGCTCTTAAAGTGTTACTAAACCCAGGACCCTGCATTCACTATATCTGGTCTCCCACAGTAAAAAGAACATGGAAAGGCAAGTATTTTAGTAAATATAAACTGCTAAATACCTTTTCTCATCAGCAGTATATAGCAGTGACTTCTATCAGTGTCCAGCCAACCACTGGTTAATCTTGTAGGAGGAATTTTCACTGTCCTCAGACTTTCTTATTAGGCTGCATGACCCCTGACCCTCTGTCCATACAGTGCTGATTGGCCCTGTGCACCATCTAAAAAAAACAACAACAAAACTCTCTAGCAATACACACCAAACTGAGCATGTGCCTAGTGTCTCCTAGGGTTCTGTACTATCAGCAGATGGATTAGGGACTGTGGAAGAAGGGGGGGGGGGGGACAGAGAAGACAGAATCAAACAGTCTTTTTACACAATGTGGACGATTAACCCCCCTTAGGTTCCACAGTGAGTATAACGAGCATATTTAAAAACGTGATTCTTGTGAGCTACTATGGTGTATTTTATACATACATGTCTTTGTAAAGTGGGTAAATTAAATTTATAAAAAATATAAATAAGTGAAATATGTGCAAAATGATTATACTTGTGTGTATAATTTGAAAAAAATATTAATTAAATGAATGAATAAATAAATAAATAAGTGAGTGGGTCGCCTACACCACACACATACTCATACAAGTGTATCACTAAAATCAAAATCAAATACAAATGTGTCGCGCTCCACTAACAGAATTAAAATGTGAAATATGCACAAAAGGATATATACATAAATTAAATAAATTAATAAATATAATTTTAAATGACATAAGTAAGTCCAACTTTAGTTTGCAATCCTACTAAAGCTGCGTGCTTATTTCAAAACAATCCATGACTTTTGGTGTGTCTTCCACTAGTGAGAAATATGAAATTCAAGGCTGGGGCTGCACAACCTTCCATGCATTTGTGGAACTGTTTCCAGGATTCCTTCCACCTTTCCACCCTTGTTTTGAGTCCTAGAGCTTAGGAGGTTTTAGTAGGATTGCAAACTAAAGTTGGACTTACTTATGTAATTTAACCACTTGACCTCCAGAGGATTTACCCCCCTTAATGACCAGGCCTTCTTTTTGCTACTCGGCGATGCACTAATTCAACTGATAATTGCGCGGTCATGCAATGCTGCACCCAAACAAAATGTACGTCCCTTTTTTTTCACACAAATAGAGCTTTCTTTCGGTGGTATTTGATCACCTGTGCGCTTTTTATTTTTCACGCTATAAACAAAAAAATGCCAAAAATTTTGAAGAAGAAAAACAATATTTTTTACTTTCAGCTATAAAAAATATATAGTAAGCTCAAAGTTGGTTAGAAATTTAGGCCAAAATGTATTCTGCTACATGTTTTTGGTAAAAAAAATCCCAATGAGTGTATATTGATTGCTTTGTGTGAAAGTTATAGCGTCTACAAACTATAACTGCAATTTAAGCCATTTTTTTGCTATACAGCGCTGCGCTAGTTTAACGGACAATTGCGCGGTCATGCAATATGGTACATAAATGAAATGTACATCCTTTGTTTTCCCACAAATTGAGCTTTCTTTCGGTGGTATTTGATCGCCTGTGCGGTTTTTATTGTTTGCACTATAAAAAAAGGCTGACAATTTTGAGGAAAATAAAACAATATTTTGGACTTTTTGCTATAAAACATGTCCAGTAAAAAAAAATGTAAAAATCAAATTTAGTCATAAATTTCTGCCAAAATGCATTCTGCGACATGTCTTTGCTAAAAAAAAATCCCAATACGTGTAAATTAATTGGTTTACGTGAAAGTTATAGCGTTTACAAATGGCGGGAAAGATACTGGGATTTTTAGTTTTTATACTAATAATGGCAGCGATCAGTGACTTATGGCGGGGACTGCGGCGGACATTCTAACATTGGGGGGTACTGACTTGGGGTTACTGACATCCCCCCAGTGACACCAATACAGTGATCAGTGCAAAAAAAAAAAACACTGACACTGTACTAATGGCACTGGGGAGGAAGGGGTTAAGTTTATTTTTCAGGGAAAGGGTTAAATGTGTGAGGGGAGTGTTTTACTAGGGGGCGGGGGGGTGTACTGCACAGGACACCGCTGATAGGGAGAGAGAAACTCTTCTGTCCCAATCAGCTTGTCCTGGAGCTGTCAGGGAAGTGACAGAAAGCACAGCTACTGCAGCTGTGCTCTCTGTCAGCGATTGCCGCCGATCGCCGGGACATAGCCGGTAATGACCGGCTGTGACCCGGCGACTGACATCCCGCGGCTGTGATCGGCGGGACAGGTAGGGCAGCGGCGTGCCTCGCGCACGCCCCCTACCTGTTTACAAAACACACATTTTAAAACGTGGTTTTGCCCAGCCGTTCCGCCCTGCCACCGTATTTATACAGTGGCTGGGCGGCATGTGGTTAAAATTATATTTATTAATTTATGTACATATCCTTTTGTGCATATTCACATTTTAATTTTATTAGTGGAGCGCGACACATTTGTATTTGATTTTGAGTATAACAAGCATGCTTTCCTGCATATACAGACTGATTTTACTATTGTGGGTTTAGTAACACTTTAACCACAAGCCTACAGGGCACTTATACCCCCTTCCTGCCCAGGCCATTTTTCAGCTTTCAGCACTGTCACACTTTGAATGACAATTGCGCGGTCATGCAACACTGTACCCATATGAAATTTTTATAATTTTTTTTGTGACAGATAGAGCTTTATTTTGGTGGTATATAATCACCTCTGGGTTTTTTATTTTTTCTTAAACAAACCAAAAACCACAGAAAATTTTGAAAAAAAAATGTTTTTTTCTTAGCTTTTGTTATAAAATTTGTAAATAAGTGTTTTTTTTCTCCTTCACTGATGTGCGCTAATGAGGCTGCAGTGATGGGAACTGATAGGCTGCACTGATGGACACTGATAGGTGGTACTGATGGGCACTGATGAGGAGGCACTGGTAGGTGGCACTGATGGGCATTGACAGGTATCACTGATGGGCAGTGATAGGCAGCACTGATAGACACTGTTAGGTGGCACTGACTGGCACTGTTAGGCAGCACTGACGGGCACTGATAGGCAGCACTGACTGGCACAGATAGGCGGCACTGACTGGCAATGATAGGTGGCACTGATGGGTGACACTGAAAGGCAGCTCAGATGGGCACTGATATGTGGCATTGATGGGCACTGGCAGGTGACACTGATGAGCACTGACAGCTGGCACTGATGGACACTGACAGGTGGCACTGCTGGGGCTACACTGATCATCAGTGCCCTGATGATCAGTGCACATGTCCACTCTGAGGGATGCTGATTACCAGTTCCGCTCTCCTCTCGAGCTGTCAGCGGGACAGCTCGTGAGGAGAGAAATGCAGATAACCGGCATTTCCCTATTTACATGCGATCAGCTGTGATTGGACACAGCTGATCACATGACCGAGCCAACATCTTCAGCTCTTTCCGTTGAACGGTGATCCGCTGTGTCCAAGGGGACACAGCGCACCACCGGAACCGGGCATGCGCAGTTAGAATGGGACGTCATATGACGTCCTCCCAGAATGAGAGAACCTCCTTGCGCCCGTCATTTCACTTAATTGGGGGGCGAGAGGCGGTTAAAATACAGAACTAAATGCCCAATGTGCATGGCTACATAGGATAGCTACCTGAACTTTGTACTGCCGGTAAAATCAGTGTTTTTATTTTGCCCATGTGCATGAGGCCTTATAATTCAAAGTAATAATAAAATAGATAAGTCCAGACTCCAGACTTATCTCCAGAATTTTCTCCAGAGCCTCCCCCATCCTCTGGAACTCTCTACCCCAATCTATCCAACTATCGCATACTCTACCCACTTATAGGCAATCTCTGAAAACCTATCTCTTCAGGGAAGCCTATCCCGCCTTCAGCTCATAACCAAATCTTCTATTTCTCTTATCAGTCCATCCCCCACAGTTATTACCTTTTGTACCACCAGCCCCTCCCTCTTAGATTGTAAGCTCCAAGGAGCAGGGCCCTCCTAACCCACTTGTATTGAACTTCATTGTCTCCCTTTATATTGTAAAGGGCTGAGCAAATTGTTGGTGCTATAAAAATCCTGTATAATAAAAAAAAAAACAGACAATAATCAATACTGCTTTGTTCCTGGTGCTGGTTGACTGATGGCTCCGTGCTTTTATAAGATTAGGAAATATTGGATCATTTCATGGTTGATGTCCTCTGTCAGTCCTCTCAACAGCCCAGTAAATCAGTCAGCCGGTAATGAGCATCTGTTGCAGTAGCTGCGTAATGGGGAAAGACTTTCTGAAATGAAGGTGAGCTGATCGTGGCTCTCATAGACGGCACATCTGTAAGCACTTACCTAGACTAGCCAGGACTTATTGCCTTTCTAAATATGGAATACCTGCAACATCTGTACTGCACATTTTCTATATACAGAGGTGACACCAGGTTGGGTGTGGGAGAGGATCATAGGGCAGTCTCAGCGAATTGCTATTTCAACATTAAATCCCAACCAAACCTTTTGATTTTCATTTTTTTTAGTTTTAGATAAAGTGGGGAAGGGTTGGAATCTCTCAGCTTTATTGCTTTCTTTAATGGTGACCATACGCGCTTCAATTTTTTTTAATCCAATCGATCTGTGATTTGGTCAAAACTGCAAAAAATCAAATAGCCATAACTTCTGATCAATTTATATTTAATTTCGAATTGAATTTGATTAAACAAAGTAGATTGACCGGGCAGAAAATGATTGTTTTGCATCAATCATCAGTAATTAAATATATTGGCCATGAATATGATCATATTTCGATCAATCAGATTATGAGATTACATCCAGAAACAGAGATGTGATGACTTACAATTATAAGTCACGATCATATCTTAAAGCGTTGTTCAACTCCAAACCAAAAATGTAATATATTTCAGTTTACCAATCATTGGATGTGGTGGCTGCATTAGTTTTCTTTTTTTTAAACTTTTGTCCCCTCTGTTTTCATTTCTCAATAAATGCAAAGTGTTCTCTTATTAGACGAGGAGGAGATCATGATGTCACCACTCCGCTTCACCACCTTGTCCGTTCAGAGAGTGCTTTGCATTTAGTGAATCAGTTCAAAGCGTTCCCTGAACAGTGCCTATGCTGACCTCTTATGTTCACAATGTAGCAGAGCAGCTACTTGGCATTGGACCCAGAAGCTAGTGGAGATAGTAGCAGTGTCTACTGCAATGATTTCCAGCTTCCACAGGGATCATACAGGTATGGTATATGCATACTTTCCTTGGTCCAAGCTGGATCATTGTAGCTCTGTTAAAATGGGGGACTCCACTGAGGAAATTTCGTATCACCTGGGCAAGAATTGAAGTAAATCTCCTTAATGGAGAGTTTCCACAAAACATTTTTAGTTGAAGCTGTACTCAGTCACTTATAAAACATACGTTATTGCAGTTGAGTATTCAATATACCATTATATGCTTTTTTTAAATACAACTAGTGTACCTAAATTTGATTTGGTATCAGCCTATTGAAACCTTCTGTACAGCAGAGCTCAGACTGAGAGAATGATGGACAGCATTGGGGACCAACCATTTTTGTGAGATGCACATGTACTATCAAAATGTGATACAGGTGTAAATGCACTATATGTGACCATATCCATACAAATAAATGAAAATTAATAAATTCATCTCAAGTGAATCCACCAATACATAAATAAATATACAAAAAATTAAAATATATGATCGCCCAAAAATATATCAAACTTCTATATGAAGTGATGGTGAATACTTAAGTGCATATATATGAATAAAATCTATATATGATCGAAAATGCATAATTCAATAAAATTCATACATGAAAAAATTATAAGTGAATAAAATCCACATATTAAAAAATCATAAACTAAAAAATAGTCCAAAGTTCATATCCAGTGCATATGTGCAAATCATCTAATATTGTGCAAAGCGCTGCAACTGAAAAAGTGTTCGAAAGGAGCTTCCAATAATTATCTATGATCACACGACACCACACAAGGTACTCACCAACTGCTAAAACAAACATGTATAAGTGTGTATGGTCCAGGAAATATTCCTCCTATGTTAATGAGTCTCCACTTGGTGATGATCATGCAACTGTCAAAGCCATACATAAAGCTCTCCGACTCAGCATGCAATTCCTCTGAAATGTGTAAGATGTCATTTGGATTGTGACGTCACCCCGCACAGCCTGTCCACTAGTGGCTTGGAGACACTGCCGGAGCCAACAGTGTGAACTATGACTGAGCGATAGATCCATATTGTCAGGCTGACACTCCCCCGTTGTAAGTGTGATACATTTGTGTGGCTACTAAGATAGCTCTGTATATATACTGTATTACTATATATACTATATTGCCAAAAGTACAGGGTGCAGCAACATAACTTCCTTTTTTCAAAACGCGTGGAAATAAAACCCATTTTATGAATCAGAATTGTTTTTATTGTCTTTAATAATGTAGGTACATATCTAAAGTTCTGTTTTACACAGTTTTGAAAATCATATCAGGTAGGTGACGCCCCCCCCCATTGTCCATACACTGAATAAGCCGATTTCTGGCATTTTTCATGACCCTTACTAGCATAGCAGCGGGTGTTGTTGGCAATTTCTGCGCGGATGTTGGCCTTCAGGTCTTGTAGGGTCCTTGGACAGTTTACATAAACGCGGGAGGATTTTAAAAAAACCCCACAAAAAAAGTCGCAAGTGGGGCCAAATCAGGGGAGCGGGCTGGCCACTCCAAATTGCCCCTTATTGAGATGAGGCGCTCCGGGAAGTGTTCCCTTACAAAGAACAAAAACAGCCAATGATGCTCTTGAAGTGTGAGCCGTTGCTCCGTCCTGTTGGAACCAAATGTCCCCTAAGTCCAATTCATCAAGTCGTGGAAAAACAAATTCCTCCAACATGTTCACATACCGGTCTGAATTCACTTATTCAGTGTATGGACAATGGGGGGTGTCACCTACCTGATATGATTTCCAAAACTGTGTAAAACAGAACTTTAGATATGTACCTACATTATTAAAGACAATAAAAACAATTCTGATTCATAAAATGGGTTTTTTATTGCGTTTTGAAAAAATTAAGTTATGTTGCTGCACCCTGTAAATTTCACGGATGGACTTATTGCACTGGTGACAACCTATCACGATACCACGCTTGAATTCACTGAGCTCCTGAGAGTGACCCATTCTTTCACAAATGTTTGTAGAAGCAGTCTGCATGCCTAGGTGCTTGATTTTTATACTGTCAAAAAAGACCCTCATATAAAGTAATATATGCAAATGCAATATAATGATAAAACATTTAATAGAAATAATAATGGCAGCATCATACTGTGTATACAGTACCAATATAAGTGCAATGTGATGATATAAATGGTAGCCAAATGTTCATTAAAGAAATACTATGCCATTTTGTGGTTTACCTGTGCAATAGTCAGCACATACATGCTTTTGCTAGGGTTTGTTTAGCTGTGGTGAAAATTAAACACACACATTTAAAGTGGTTGAAAGGGCTCAAGTTTTTTTTTTACCTTCATGCATTCTATGCATGAAAGTAAACATTTTCTGTGTGCAGCGCCCCTAATACTTACCTGAGCCCAGTCTTGATCCAGCAATGTGCATGGAAGCCTTGACTGTCTTGGGTCTTTCCATTCTCATTGGCTGAGGCAGCAGCAGGAGCCATTGACTCCCACTACTGCCAATCACAGCCAGTGAGCCAATGAGGAGAGAGTGGGGGGCAGGGCTGAGCTGGCACACAGAGCAGCTGCTCGGATGCCCACATAGCAAGTTGCTTGCTATGGGGCACTTGGAAGGAGGAAGGGTCCAGGAGCCCTGGCGGGGGACCCAAGAAGAGGAGGATCGGAGCTGCTCTGTGCAAAACCACTGCACAGAGCAGGTAAGTATGACATGTTCGTTATTTAAAACAAATCTGACTTTATAATCACTTTAAATTGGCTGGAGGTACATGAGGGGGTTTAGGATTTAATAAGGCTTCCAAAGGGTTCTTAGCGAAACTGTCTCCTAGGACTGTATAGGTCATTTGGTATACCCTTGTGAAGATAAATCTTTCAATGGAACACAGACAGAAAAAAATTTAACTGACTAGTGTTTAACTCTTCCCTAAACTGCCAAAAAATTTTAAAAAGTTTTGGCTTTAGACTCATTTAAAAAAAATAAGTTTGGGTTCCACTGATTGGAATTTGTATCTGACACAAGGAGAAAATCTTGGTCTCCAAGCAGCAGAAATCCAGGTATGTGAGTGGGTTCTGTAGCAGAAAAAACATTAAACTATTACTTGAGAAACTCCGGGATAAAACTCTTGGAGGTATGAAGCCCTGAAGCATAGTGTTGCCAAGGACTTATAGTACCCAGGTCTTAAAAAAAAGTAATAGGTACACAAAG